AATACAAACCCTTTGAGATACGGGGAGCACAGGAATGGGGGGCTGGTTCATAAGAAAACTTCTAAGCATTACTGTAGGATAAATAATATGGCATCTTTCACCTCAAATAGCCTAACACTTCATAAAGTGATATGAGCTTCACTAGTTGCTAAAAACACAGCTATTTCTGAAGTGGAACCTGATATCTTTCTTTCTTTTTTTTTTTTTTTCTTTTTAACCAGTAGAGAGCAATGTTTTAAGGTGGAGAGTGAAGGATAGAGTATACAATCAATCATAGGTATAAACCTAGGAGGGCTTTCAAAATGGAAAGATCAGGCAAAATCTACTTTTATTAATAACATGCGTTCTGGTGTCTCATAACCTTGTGTCCTTAGTTTATAAATGTGGTTCATCTATAAGAGATACAGGCAACTCAAGTGAGATTTTATCCTCTCTCTTTCAGCAATACTGTCTTACAGCTCTTTGGGAGCAGATGCTCTGGTTCCTTTCTTCTCTTCATTCAGTTTAATGTCCAAGTCCCGGAGCTGGCTGAGGAACCCTGAATTTGGGCAGATGTTTCTGTGAGCACCCACCGTCTTCAGAGCATCCACAAGTGTCATGTTTTCATGGATCATTAAAAAGGCAAGCACTAAAGTCGCTGAGCGGCTCACTCCCATGGCACAATGAACAAACACCTTACCTGCAGAAAAAAGAGGTACAGCAAAATGAGTGTGCTTTAGCATTTCTAAAGTGAAAAAGACACAGGGAGGAGAAAAAATACTAGAAACAAGTTGGGAAAACAGTGGGGACAATTAGTGAATCCTCATGTTTTCAGAAAGATTATGCTATACCTCTCAGGCAAGGTGGTGTTTCATGCTGACCTCCTGGATCTAATTTAGGCCTCAGATTAAAATAGTTGAAATTTTCTGTGGCAGGAGAAGCTTTCTGTGACTAAACTTGTTAGTATAGTTTTCTGTGGAAAAAAAAAAAGCTTTGGCAGAAAAATTTGGCCCAGCCCTGACTGTGATCACTGGCAAGTCCCATAAACTCTGTGGGATAGTCTGCCTGTAAAAATGGAGTCGTAATTTACTGTATCTCAGCAGCCCAGTGTGAGCTATAACTGGGGATTTAATAAAGCACTCCCGTGAAAGCAGCAGATCCTGCAGCCAGTCAGAGTCAGAGCAAACTCTGGAACAAATGGAAATTATGATAACTAGGCCATAATCCAAACTCTGCTGACAAAAATTCAGCGGGCTGTGGGTCAGACTCGTAGTTTTTGACTTAGTTCATTAACTTCTGCTGCTTCTCTAGCTTAATAGACAGGCTGAATAAAGCTCCAATTCTGCGAAGTACTTAAGCATGTGAAGCATTCGAGCCAGCACTGAAGTGACACTGCTCCCAGCTGAGTGCATCGGGACCAGGAGCAGCACGCAGAGCAGGATTGTCATGAGCCCATGCCAGTGTGCAAGGGGTGGGAGGTGTGTGTGGAAGCACACAGATCATGCCAATTCCTACAGCATGGGCCCACAGGGGAGTATCTGCAGTGCCATAACCTCTACACTCTGGTATTAGAGCTTGCCCTTCCTCCTGCCACGCTGGCCTGTGGGCAGCCAGTCTTCCCCAGCTCCTGGGAACCTGGCCATGGACACCTTCGCTGCAGCACATGGCATAGGCACCCTTCTCCATCCTCTCCTCAGTGGTTCTGCATATGCCACCTTGAACCTTATGCTGATTCTGAGCTCTGTTGGTGCCTGTTACTGCAAGGAGAAGTCATTTGGCTTGTGTTGAAACTTCCTCCCAAAGCTTATCTTTGCTTCCCTCTTACCTCCTGAAGAGTTTAAGGCCTGGCCTATGAAATTGGCAGCATCATAGAAGAAGATACTTAAATCGAAGGAAGGATCATCAAATGCTTCTACTCCATAGTACTCTATTTGCAGATCTTCATAATATTTGGCTCCTGTGTTGATGCTATATGGTCCATCTGCTGCATTAAGGATATGAGTAATGTTGAGGCTTTGAAGAGTAGTTTTGCTCCTGGCAGCCCACCTGTTGAAAGACATGAAGGGCACGTTGGCAATGCTCCCAACATTCTGCTAAAATAGCATGGTTTAAAGTTAGTGCCTGCTCCTACTAAGAAAGGATGCAGGAACTGCATCTTGCCTACAGAGGAGAAAATTTTGAGAAGCACATAGTACTTTGTGCAGGAAAAATGTGATATGGGGGTGTGGAGAGCAGCAGGAGCACAGACTTGCCAGTGGGATACTGTCAGTTAAGCAAATGCCTCCTAGCGGTTAATCCCTGGGAACATGGTTTACTCTATAAAGTGGTCAAGATTTTCCTTTAAATATTTGTTTAGCAAGTTTTAGAGCTAATCTCTCATACAAATGCAGCAACACCTTGTTCCTGATTTGGACATGAAGTGGATGCATTGTATTCACCAGCTAGGTTTTCCCCCTTCCCCACAATAAAGGGGGACTAAATGCATTCTACAAAACTCTGAACCTTAACTGATATATTCATGAGGAGGAGGATCTGGGAAAAACAAGCCTATGATCTATGTAATCTGCTGTAATCCAATTGGAAGGAAATAGCAATAAATATTACTGGTCACAAGAATAAGGTATTTGCATGAAAATTCCTGATTGATATTTTCAGTTTTGCCATCTTTGAAAGAATCTTCTGATTTCAAATGTCAAAATCCCTATTGTATAATTCATTTAGGTCCTCTTCTTTCTGGCTCTTGATCCTGCCACCCCTATTTGAGTGTGAGGGCTACTATGCTCTTGTCTGCTGCCTTAGAGCACAGTTTTCACGACAAATAATGCATCTCAGAATTGACACCAATTTGGTATAAATTCTTTGAGGACTTTTATCTAGAATACAAATAATTCTTACCCTGCCAAATCCACGGTGGCTAACAGAATATAAAAAACACAAGTCAGGCACAGTAAGTCACCATTTTGCATGCCATGTTTTTCTTGAAATCCAGACTCCTTATGTCATTAGCTTTGGAGGCCTGTAAAAACATTCCTGTAGACCCAAAAGCTGCTCCTCAGTGTACCACACCCATTCCTTCTCCTCCTCCCAGGGACTGATAACAGCTTAACAATAGGACCATATGTTCTTACGCATCTCCCAGGTAGATATTTGGCCAGACTTGGTCCACATGATTATCAGACCCTCCTCTGAACCACAGAAGCCGCTGGAGGTCTGATAGTGCTGGTGTTTCATAGGAATCATTGCTAGTCAGAGATGAAGAGTCTTTGGTGTGAGGCATCTTGCTGCACTTTTGCACGCACTCAGGCTGTATCAGAGACAGCTTTTCTGAAATGAATTAAGAGGAAATTTTCATACAGATATAACATTCCCTAGAAAGTAGTCCTGTTCATTACCCTCCAAATAGCATTACATTATTATAACTAGTGTGTGCAGCAGGGCCTGCAGGTGTTGCTAAAAACATCCAGAGAGCAGGAGTGACTCTGTGGTAGGACTCTATAGGCATGTAAATCCTCCCCTGAGAAAGCAGCATAAGACAATGTGATTTAATTTCTTGTCAAGTACTGATGTTGGAAAAGAACATCCTGCACCACCTGAATGCAGCACTGGCTGAACCTTGTAGGTGCAGGTGTTATTTCTGTTACTGATGAGGGTATACAGAAAACCATCAGCTCCTTTTGTTGAAGAGTTACCAAGTGTTTGTGCACACTTGATTCTGATTAATTAAAACTGGAAGTTTTTGAAAGAATACATCATTGGGCTGACTTATACTTAAAATGCTTCTAGGGCCAAGGTGGAAGTCTTAGGATGTGTGTGTGAGCGACATTTGTATAATGCATGTGTATACACATATGAAATATATGTGCATACAATTTTCTTTCATTTATAGGGGTGTATTTAAACACACACATACACGAACATATATACGTATGAACAGATTTTCACGTGCATATATAAACATAGATATGTCTGTATGTACAGAAATAGAAATTGAGAGAATCTGAACTAGTTTTTTCTCTCTCTCAGTTGAATACCCCTGAACACTTAGCTATACTGGTATTCTTGTGCCTATCTGTCTCTGTCTCTCCTCTGGGAGCTGTTCCACTTTGTATAAATAATGTGATAGGTACTTGCCTCCAGAGAGAGGCCATTTCTCTCATCTGAGGGCTGAGGTACTTACCTGGGATGTGAGAAAAGAGAGCACCTGAATTTTTTTAAATTATAGAGCTGAAATTCTGGTGGTGTTGTCCTGTTGAGAATCCCATCGAGGGCTCCCTTCCCTAGATCTGTGAAGGATCCTACAGATCACAGATCTGTGATGCCTCTCAGATCACACCATGGAATTTGGGCATCCCTTTTGCAATGCTGTTTGCTGGTTTAGACCCGGGAAGCTCAGGCCAGCCGATTCAGCTGAAAGCAGAGCTCAGTCAAGAGCAAGAGTATGAAGATATCCAAGCAGTCCCTTCTTGAGACTTTAGGAGCATTTCTCCTTCCAGGATCTCATTATCCTGAATTGCTCTTCTTGCCCCCAGAAAATATTGATGAGCTTTGTTTGGCTGCCTGTTGGTATTAGAGTCATAATCAATGTGAAAGCCACACTAGAACTCTTCCCAAAGTAGAATAGATGGTGTTTATTCTCATGTGGCATCAGCTTTGCCTAAATCTAGAGTTTGGGTTTGTTTTCTTAGCAATTCTAGGAAACAAGTGCAGATGGGACCTTCAGAAATCATCTAGTCTGTTCCCTGCCCCCACAGCAGCAGCCAGATGGATGTTGCTTCTAAAACAACAACAACTTTGTCCAACATCCAGGTATGTTATTTTCAACGACGTAGGGTGATTTGGGGAATAAGCAGAAACAAGGGAGAATATTTTTTTGCTTCTGGATAAAGAAGTAGAGATGATGTGAAGCACATTATGGAACACATCACATATATTTCTGTGACCTCAGCCTAAATTTTCTTCCCTTGCCCCTTTCTCCCTCCTCCTCCCCACCAATGTTAAGCGCAGTGATAGCTTTTTGTATGTTCCAATAAAAAAGAAGTCTCCCTAGGGTAACTACTTAATAAGTAAAATATGAAAAGCACAGTAAAAATCATGGGAGAGATAGGAAAAAAAGTGACTGGTTTTACTTTTAATGATGGAGGAAAAGAACTGCAGGGAAGTAGAGAGGAATATAGAGATAAAAGCCTACGAATTTTTCAGGGCAGATAATGTAACACCAAGAGCTTTGGTAAAGGAACATGTTGTGCAATCCTTGCACAGATTAACATGAAGAACAGCACAGAAACAGATATTGTGCATTGCTCTACAAGTTTTACTGCCTTGTGAAAGTCATGCACTGTGCTCAAGAGCTACTGCCAGCATCTTCATGATGACCTGTTTGTACTTTCACCGACACAGAACGTTAAGCTGAAGCAGTAAAAAGAAATCAAGAAAAAGATAATACAACTTCTACATCAGGAGATTCATAAGATCACAGGCTAATTTTCAAGGAGTGTGGCTGACTGAGTTGCTGCAGATGCTTAAGAGCTGAAGTTGTGGAGGTAAGCAAATAGATACCAAACTTTCAGTTCTCCTAGCCCCTGCTGCTTTAAACTTCTGTTGTAGCCTGTCACCTAGTTACAGTAATGGAGATGATGAGCAGAGAGAATTAGATTGTGAGGCCTCTTGTCCAAGACCTGACTTTGAAGAAATTCTCCAAGAATTGAGTTATTTTGGTGCCAGTGACACTTTGGAGGTGACTCCAGCCTTTGCAGCCAGGGAGGTGCTTTGCAACAGAGCTCCCTTTCATACAGCAATCTGCTTTTCAAAAAGCACATCAACATCATTTTATTCACATGACTAATGCCAAACAAGTGAGCTCCTCATGTCAACAAGAACATAGCTCCTCCCAAGAATGCTCCCTCCTGCGCTGCACTGGCCTTGAAATTGAATTGCTCTACAGGGCCTTCAGGGTAAGCTTGGAAATAGCTATAGCAGATGATTGGACTAATGAGGAAAGCAATATGAATTTTTTAATTGAAGGCCAGGGACTTTGCTGAGGGTTTCCTCCCTCCCCCTACTTTAAGATACTGCAGAGCTAGCAAAAGTGCTGCCACTGATTACATTTCTCTAAGCTTCTCCCTCTGGGTGGCTCCCAGAAGCTGTTCCAGTTGGAAACAGCCAGTGACTGCAGGAGGGCAGGAGTCCCTGTACCTGGGGAAAAAAATTTTCTATCTTACAAGGTCACTAACGTTTTCTCCAGAGATCTAGACCATGCAAGTAGGATACGACTACTTTTCTTTTAAATTGTAGCCTGTAAGTACCTAAAGACCATCTCATTAGATTCTTTCTTTCTCTCTTTTTTTTTGTTTTTCTGGTTAAAAAATAAAAAAAAACAGAAACAAAAAAAGTCCTTCTACCTATGGGAGACTTTTGAGGCTGGATAGGATTTTTAAGGGCAATACAGAGAATACAAGGCAGCACAAGCTTTAAAACTGTCTTGTCATTATGCAACAGTTCCCAAACACCCGGAGCACTGGGGTGCACCCCACATGGCCAGGGCCTGCTTGGTTCCATGTCTGAGCTGTGGAGCCTGGATTTCCCCAGTGGTCCAAGAGCTGCCCTTGAGGCCCAGGCTGGAGGTGGTCGTGGGGTGGCATTGCCTGGCTGCAGGCAGCACCCAGGAAGGGCTGTGGGTGACTCCAGGCTGTTTGAATGCAGCTGGGTGCAGCTCCTGAGGGACTCAGTCAGGCCAGGACTTGTCCACAACAACCTAGTTAGTATTTCCCCAGTATTGTTTAGCCACTTAAGTACTACAGTCTGCTAAGCTTTTTGTTTGGTTTTTTTTTTTGTTTGCTTGTTTGGTTTTTTTTTCTTTCCTTCTCTATGGTGGAAACAATTGCCATTTTCTATTGAAGATTTTTCTGGCAAAGGAAGGGAAAAAAACCCACACAAACCCCCACTGACTTGAATTGGCTAAAGCATTTAACAGATTTGTGTTGCATTTGCAGATTCCAGTGAAAGAAAATTCAGCAAAGTTCAGGGGGAAAGAAGCAATATTGTAGATTTGAAATAGTTAATTTCGTTATTTTCAAAAAAATTACCATTTTCATTTTTCTATTCAGAGTTACTTTGTTTTGGAATTTGTTTTGCTGCATTGCATAAAATCTTTTAAAAAATTAAAACAAGATGAAATGGCTTGTTCCTGGTTGAGAAATAAACTAAAATTAAACACAGACTGAGTGGCCACCTATTTGCTTAGCCCTAATTTTCACTTCTGTAACAGGGGAAAGCCTCCTGCCATTTTGCCATGGTTGTTACCTTGTCTCTTCGAGAGTGAACTGAGCTGTAGAGAGATGAAACGAATGTCTACAGTCCCAGGAGGAGTGTGGCAGGGCATTAGTTGGACCACAAGCATCCCTCTTTCCCTTTCACTAGCACCTCCCTAACTGGCACAGCTCTGCCTGTGGTTATCTTCATAGCCCGGATGGGGACAGGTGTCTTTCAATAACAAGGCCTTACATGAGATTAAGAGCCTCAGGCACAGCAGGGCCTGTGGTTACTACAATAGCACAAACACCACCTAACAATAGCATGATACAGAAAGCTCCTGCAACCAAATATTCTAAATTCCCTAAATCAAAAACCTGACAAACGAAATGGTTCAAAATTCCAAAGCATGAGGTCAGAATATAATTCATGTGAAAGGAAAAAAAAAGGCAGCCTCTCGATGCATTTGAAATTGCTGTCTACTCTGTTTTTTCTTCTCTCTTGTCTCAGCAAGCATCTCTGCACTCATCTTTTACACTCCTTGCTCTTTTCTCTCAGGTAGTACTTTACACTGTGGTTCTTTGTCCTCCTGATGGAAAAATCCAGATGGAAAGAAGTGTAGTTCACAAGGAAATGATCATGTAAGTGGAATTAATCTTTCAGATACTGTAATGTGAAATATGATCTTCCTTTTTGTTAAGAAGACCCAGTCTGTGTCTCTACACTTTGGTCAGAATCCGATGCTAAGAGAACCCAGGAGTCTCTTGAGGTAGAGCTGAAAGCTTCTTTGCAGAAACAGGCACATTTAAAAGCAATAGCAAAGTTAAACCAGCCAGATGGGAACCTAGCAGGCAACCGAGAGGGGAACTCTCTGTTTTCCTTGCAAGCCTACAGGGGCTTGTTTGCAGGAATTAGAATCTCTCACCAGCAGTTCACTGCAGCTCTAATACCAAGTGGTATTGAAAATGAGAAGCAGGTTATGGCTGATGGTTTAAATGAGGCACCTATGGGAATTTAGAAATGAGATCCTGGACTTGTCTCAGTGTAGGCCGCGCACATGGCAGAGCAATATTGCTTTCTTGGCTGACTGCATCATGTATTATGGTCTTTTATTTTGCCCACAGTCAAACAGCAGGGAATAGTAGAAAGTTCATTGCTCCAGCTCACTGTTTAAACTCTGATCTGCCTCACCGGAGAGGCAGTGCCCCCAAATAATGGAAAGCAGAATCGGTCCCTCAGCCTCAATGCGGGTACATGTTCAATGCAGCACTGAATTAATGCCACTGCCATTATTTCAGAGTGAAGAGAAAAGCAGAATGTACAATTAAAGCTCTGTTTGGTTCGGTTTTTAAGGGAATTTACTACCTGGGAAAGATGCCAGATCAAGGGCCCTGGAAAACACAGCCCTCTCTTTAACAGCAGCGTTGGGAAAGATCAGGAGCAGCCCTGCAAGCCTCCTCCATGGCTGCCCTCTTGGCTCAGCCCAGCCCAGCTCAGCTTGCAGATGCCCCTTGCCCTACACTTGCAACTGTGTTTTACAGGGTGAGAGAAAATCCAAGTCTTCACACCTCTTCACTGCTTGGTCTCCCTCCTGACATCTCCGTTCACATCCGGCCTTGTACTTTTATGATGGGGCCCTCTCAGCTTCTCCAAACTGAGCCAGAAGGTACCAACTTCTGCTCACAAGGAGCCTGAGCTGGGCTGGAAAGCTAAAGGCTCCTTCCTCTGTGAGCCCTCCTGTTCTTGCACAGAGCTGCCCATGAGGGGCTCCTGTGGGGCAGAGACAGCTTGCTGCTGCCCACAGGACCTGTATCCACCTGGGGATGGCAGGAACACAAAAGGCCATCTCAGTGGCGGGAGCAGTCAGAGGGCAGGGCAGGTGAGGGTAATTAGCCTCTGGCAGGGTTGGGATAGCCAGGAGAGCTCCTGGTGGTGAGGAAGGTCCCAGGTGAAGTGGGAAGACAAGGAGGTGCATGGCCAGGCACAGGCAGAGTTGTGAGGTCACATAGGTAGACATGAAGCCTGAGCATCTCAGCTCTCGCTCTCACAGAGCCCCTTCCAGCAGCCCCATCCCAGGTCACACAGCCACTATTGTCCTTAGACAAGGCAAGCACCCGGGAGGGAAAGAGCTTGCTGAGCTCAGGCTCAGTGGGAGGAACTTCACCTGTGCCCTGCTTGTTTTTGGGGAGAGGGTGTTACTGCTTTCTCACAGAAGTGCTCCTGGAGAACATTTCTTTCCTTTGTAATATAATGGATCTGCACATATTTTCTGAAGACTGCCATTCCAAGGGGGGAGAACCTCCATGCTGCCTCCAGCCCCCTGCACCTCCTCCCCCAGCCCTCCCATTTGAGAGCCACACAGCCTAGGAAGGGGCACTTGCCCACGCATGGGGCTGACACTAGAGGAAAGGATCTTTTAAAAATGGAGGCAATAGTTGGAAAAATGGGGAGTCCTGCTTGCAGTGACAGGTCATGGCTGTGGCATGACGACAGCCTTTACATCTGCAGCTTTCAGATTCAAAGGAGATAAAAAAAAGAATTATTACCTTAGCAGCTGGCATCTCTGTGCTATTCAATGCACCATCCCCAGCAAGACAGCGCTGCCCTCCACAGGCTCCTACCACAATTTCTGACTGTCTGTGGATATTTGTCAAGCCTAGGGTGACGCTTTCCCCTTTATTTCTCCTCTGGAGCACTCCTGTCCAGGGTACCACAGCTAGGAATTAAAGCCCTCCAAAACTACTGATTTTCTTGACACATCTCAACTACATTCATGCTTCTCCCTGAATTAAAACACTGTAGTTTTAAGTCCTGTTGCCAGCAGCCATAACTGTGCTGTGTGCAGTAATCAGGGGAGCACACAGTCACCATGCAGCTAACTGCTTCTAATAGTAGAAACTTCACTCTAATCTTATATAACGGCAGTAATGGAGCAGAGAGGCTGTGGCTTGTGAGGAGCTTAGACAGAAAGCTTTCTTGGGCAGCTTGTGCCCTGAGGGCAGAGAAGCTGCATCTGCAGTGAGAGCAAGAAAAACAAAGTGACCTTGATATTGATAACAGTTCAGTGAGTGCTGTCACAGCCAGTGCTGTGCCAAGATTTCACTGGTGTCACAGGCTGTCGATAGATGTAAGTTATGGGCAGTTCTGATACAAATGGTGTCAAAGAGACCAGACTCAGAGAGGGGGAAAAAAATAATGTCTTGCAAGCTTCAGGAAAGACAAACAAGGATGTTAATATACTGCTATTAAAAGGGGCTCCAAAGCACTTGCCCTTCTGCAGGCAGTATGGATTTGTGTGACTGTGGATTAAAGAAGTTTTTTCCTTCTCCTTGATTTACTCCTCAAGTGATTTTTATCTGACTGCTCCTGTCAATACAAAATTGACAATGCTGTCAAGCTTGCAAGATTTCAGAATATTTGAAGGCACGAGAAAGTGGTTTTGATATTCCTCGGTCGTTTGGCAGGGGTAGCTTTGAGCTGTCTGTCTCTCTGCACTTTAAACATAAGCAGTGAAGTGCTCTCCTTGCTTTGCCTTGCTTGAAAGAGTACATACAAAAAAGGCACCTTTTTCTAAGGTTGACAAAGCTGTACAAAATTTTTGCTGTGGAATCAAGAGCAAAAAAGACTTCAAAACTCTACAGTGGAAGATCTATTTTGGCACTTGAATTTTTTGGGCACATCATAAAGCTTTCCAGGGACATTCTCTGCTTTGTTGGGGCAGAGTGGAATGGGGTTTTTAGATTTTTCTTGATTGCTGATTTTAAAATGATTGTTTATTTTTTGATAAAGTAATCTTTTAAGAAGTGTGATTGTATGTCACAAAGGAATTGACCACTGATGAGGTGCACAAGAGCAACTAAAAGGAGATATTAAGATCTAGAACTGGGATTTACTTTCTCTTGCCAACTTTTGATTATGTGTCTGATGAATATTTGCTTCTAATTTCTTATCTTGAATTTGAAGAAATAAAATTGTGAGTGGTTTGCCTGTTGTGCTTCCCTGGTATTGGGGTGTGAGATAAATCAGAGTGAAGCAGGGAGCTGTCTTGTCAGGGGTGTGGGTAAAGCAGGGTGTGCAGCCACCTCTCCAGGCTGTGATAGATGAGAGGTCAAGGGCAGTGGGAGCATGTTGCTGCTTTATGGAACATCCAGTCCCAGGGTCACTAGGAGAGCTTGTCCTGCCATTTGCTGGCTGGTGGGAAGAAGTTTCTCTGCCAGGCCCTGCTGCGATGTCTCTGTGGGAAGCAGGCAGGGTAGGGCTGCCCCACTCCCCCGACTCCATGCTGATGTTATGTGAGTCTTGCAGTTGTTCAGGCAGGGCAGGAGCAAGGATTGTTACATGCCAGCAAGTTTTTGGAGGGTCTTTTTACCTTTATCTTGCCAGGTGTTATGCTGTTGTTTTTCTGATGCTGTTTCATACTGAGGCTTGGTGTGGACTATAGATCGAAGCCAAAGTTGGTTCGTTGGTTGATGGAGGGGGGGAAAGAGCCTCCAGCAAAGCAGCAGCCTCATGGGTCTCAGGAGGGAGAGTTGAGCACAGGTAGCAGGGTGTAAGGCAGCCTTGCTGGAGGTTGTGGCTGCTGCAGGCAGATTATAACAGACAGTTTGGGAACACGCTGCAAACGTAACAGTCCATTTTCCCTAAGCAAACCTCAGTGCTTCCAGCACAGCCCTGGGAAGGCTGTCCTCTGCTTGGGAAAGTTGCTGTGAGCAGGAATACATTAAGGACTTCGAGATTCTCAGGTACAGTGGTAATGGGAGCCACCCATGAGCTATAAATAGCACTAACATCGTTTCTCTCCAATGCCTGGCATCCCAAGCAATCATTTTTGCTGGTGCTAGTGAAAATGAACAAAGCTTTGAAGAGCTTTTATTTATGTTCTCTTTGCAGGCTGGAATTTTGTGAGTAGTTTTTCCTACTGGCTCTGAATTTTGCATTTATTTTAAGGGAAAATATTGGCATTTTTTCCTTTTGGATTTTTTCCTTTTTTAATTATCATATATAATTTTCATATTTTTAGCTCAACTATGTGGGAAAAGCTATTGTGGTGGGAGAGTGGGGATCAAAAATATTCATTTTCAAATAACCTTTGTGAAGGAGCTATGAAGACCTGAGAGCAAAACTGGCAAAAAGGACCCTCTTCAAAATATTTAATATACATTTGATGAAGCCTTGTCATAAAATGATAAGGTCTCATCTGTTACGCAACTCTCCTTTGCTATTACAGACATTCTGGAAACATGAGGTCTACAAAACAGACATTTTGTGCTGGGATAACCAAAGAACCACTGCTACAAGATCAACTGGTAGAGCTGGAAGAATTAGTCAACCTTTTAAATATGCAAGAAGGGCTATATTTTTTTTCCAATTATGCCAACTAATCTAATTATACACTGCTTTTACTAACAACCCTTGCCTTAGACCAGCAGGCAATGCTGCTGTTAGTGAAACACTGTGATTTTTCCTATTGCCACAAGATGGCAGGAGAAAGCAAGCTTGAATGATTTAAAAATACACAGCGATGAGCATCTCATGACGGAATCCTCTCCTGACTGGCATTTAAAGGGAACACTTACTAATATACAAGAAATAGCCCAGAATGGATTAAAGGAAAACGTGAAATATACGGAATTAATTAGAT